CCCACACCCCCTGAACAAGCCACCCATAGCTCTGTCCCACTCACTACCCTGGCTGGGCAGCACCCCCAGCCCCTCCCTCACCATGGGGGCTTGATCTGCCCCTCGTCATGATCCTTCCCTCTCCCATATCCCTTTCTCTTCACAGACTTACCTGCAGGGTGCTGCTCTCCACACTGCCCAGCTGTGCTCCTGGCCGCATGTGGGCTGCAGCTGTGCACGTGCACGCAGAGTCCAGGAGGCCCCAGCCAGAAGGCATATTTTATTTATTCGTGTGTTAATCGGCTACACTGGCCAAAAAAAGCCACCTTGTCCCAGCCGTGCAGCCAATACAATATGGCACCGACGTGTGGGTGCAACTCTACAAACAACAAAACAACTTACAGGGAAAACATGACATGCCCAACATGGCTGGAACTAGAATGGGAGAACTATCATCATCACTATCATTTGGCATAAGTGGTTTCCCCAGCTTGGAGCACAGGAGCCATCAGACAGTTACACTCACAGTTCAGCGAGTCCAGTCCCCTGTCTGCAAAAAGAGCCAGTACCAGACACTTCAGAATAAGATGTAGGAAACCCTCTAGTAGGTAGTTATGAGACTATCTGCCCATAAGGGAAAAGGTTGCTTAAGGGTTCATAGTCTAATAGCAGTAGCATAACTAAGGGTGGGCAACCTGGACAGCAACTGGGCACCAGTTCTGAGGTGAGACAGGAATGGGGGCTGCTGCCTGCAGTCCAGGCCAAAGAAACTGCTTGTTACACATCTGCCTAATTGACCTCGGGCCTGAGAATGAAAACTGGGTCATACTGTCAACTGTCTCACCAAGTTACCTGAGAAGTCACTCACTGCACTTCTGATACTCTATGTTCCCATCTCCACAGCAGAAGACAAGCTAGTAATCTATCCCAAAACCACTTAAGTATATTGTAAGCAGAAAAACCAAGTTACCCACTAGCACTTACAAGTTTGCAATACAAGTTGTATCAGTAAATGTTCTGAACTTTTAATTCTCTGCCATAGATTAATGAGGAGGACTGCATATGCCAAATCCAAGTACACAGTCCTCTACTTGGTCACACTCAAATTGCTAATAGATTCAGTAAGAAGCCTAAAAGGCCAAATAACTTGATTAAATTATAGTCAGTTACTGGAAGGCCTTAAACCTGATTATAATTATAAAACAGTACATAAGGCTTTCACCAAGGTCATGCACAGGATGGAAGCATGCATAGCTTTTGACTGACTGTGAGAGCCGGCAGTCTCGAAGGTAGTTAATGCACTGAAATTACAGGAATCCTGTTTAGTGCTTCTGAGCACTGAACAACTGTGGATTTCAACACATTAGCCGTTTTGGGTACCTCTGACATCCAGCTGTTAACTACAAAAGCAATGCAAACAGCCTCACCTGAGGCCTCTGTTATCACTAAATTAATAAATGCAACAGAAGTGGTCTTAAGAGCTAAAAACACTAAAACTCCAGGAATGCAATTGCTCTTGGACAAAGGAAGCAGTCCAGCAATGCCTTAAGGACAAACAGCAATTCTGTTGCATAAACACTGCATTTCAAAAGCTGCATGATTCCCCCCTTACATCAGTTAGAAACAAGCAGCACAAGTCATAGCAACGTTCCTGGTTCCCAAGCCGAGGTTGTATACAACATGAGCTGGCCATGGCCTCCACCATTGAGACAGGTCCAAGGACTCTCAAATCAGTTCCTTCCCTCCTGGTCCACTCCCCTCCAGTACCCCCTTGATATCTTGCTCTCAATTCCAGTTCACTAGGATAAGGCAGACCCTAGATCTTTCCTTCTAGACTTCCCTGAACCTCCCATTTCTATCATCAATCCCTCACATCCTTTGATGTCCTGATACATGCCAGCTGTCTGGAGGCTTGGCACAGCTATTACTGCCATTTTACAGGCAAGGAACATAGGCACAGCGAGACTAAGTAACTTCCCTCAGGTCACTTGATGTCAGACACACGCAACCCAGGTTTCTTGAGGTCCATGGTAATACTGCAACCAACAGATCACATCTCAGCATACTTCTCTGTTCCAGTCTACTTGGCACCCATACCACCTTGACTCCTTCAGCTCCAAGAAAACAGATGTTAAGATGCCACTTCCTCCCCACCCCTCATGTTCCCTGTGGCTTCTGCTACCTCAGGACAGATTCTTGGCCTCACCTAGGCTGCCTCTCACAAGTCAACCCCTTCCTGCCTTCTCAATTCATGGCAGCTGCTCACACTGCTAGTGATATCAAGAAGGTGAGGAGAGCTGGCACAGCTCATTTATAATCTGCTTTAAAGCAATCTACATATTTGTATTCTAGCCAAAACCAAGAGCTAGACTAAACTGTTGCACAATCAATCATTAAAAAGGCAGGGAACAGCAACAGTTTGTGTAATTTTAATTCAGGCCTCCTGGGCATATCCATTAAGATATAGTCCTTAGTTACATAATTACACACTGGGCACATCTACATATGCCATTAATGCAACTGAATAAACTCTGATGTAGTTCACATTGGAGTTTATTTCTCCCGGGCACCACATTTACACATGCACCTGGAATCGTAGTATGTTTGAGCCAGGACCACACCACCCCAACTGGCAGGAAGCCTGGGGGTCAGCCTGCCAGCCCAGGGCTGCTCCAACCCAGCTCGATGTGCTGCAGAGGGGCTGGCTGGGGCATGAGGGTGCTCTGGTGTAGGGCTGGCCAGCAGGCAGCTCCCACATCATGCCCTAGCCAGCCCCTCCAGCGTATACACATGCACTAAACACCACTATAACGTGTGCGCACTAAACGCCACCATAAGATAGTACTTGTGTTTACAAGTACTAACCTACAGCCATGCTTATTACTTTAGTGTGGCCATGCATGTAGATGCTGAGACTTTACTGCAGAGCTAACTAGGCAGCTCCGCAGTGAAACATCTCGTGTAGCACTTGCCCATTTTCTTCCATATATACCTGGCTCGTTCAGTGCAGAGGACAGATCTGCTCTGGGCGGTAGGTAACTGCTATCTGAAAAACCCTTGCCTCATTTACTGCAGAAGTTAGAAGGCATGTAATGAATGAGTCAGGGGACCATAGAATGGTCTTGTGCCACTGTAGAGAACTGGAGTCTATCCCTGCCTGTCTCATGTAAACCAAAACCTTCAGAGATGGCAAACCACTCTGGGCATTCCTTATTTTTCTGGAGGTCCAATGCAAGACACAAGTTCTGGTTTGAGAGCACTCAGAACTACAGTACATGCAACTACAGCAGCAGAGCCCTGCTCCAGCTGGACTTCACAGAAGGGGCACTTAGAGCAAAGTGGCATCTAAAATTTAAATTGTAGTCTCTGTGCCTCAGTTTTCTGACAAGTGACTAATGGAGCTAAGCACAAGCCAATCTTGCCAAGACTGCAAAGAACTGAGACGGAGGGCACGAAAAGAAAAGCTCATGATGAAACAGACTGCACTCAGAGCAGGGTTTGAGCAGTGCACAGTCAGTACCGCAGAGTCCCACAGAAAGAAAGGAGGATAAAAAGAAATACCAAGCACTCTCCATGAGCAGGCATGCTTTAGAAAACAGTCACGATTGACTGTCACAATGCAGATGTGAAGGGGGCTGATCTAAAAAGTTACCAAGAGAACGAAAAGGCTAGCGCTTCCTAATTTTTCAGAGCTGGACTTTGCAACTTTCCTGCTCTTTTAAATAGATGCATGCATGCAAATAAGCAACAAGGAAATCAAGGAAGCCACTTGTCCCCAAATTTCTCTGAAAATTCAAGCTTCACATCCATGACCTAGTGGACAGAGCAGAGAATTCTGAGTCCCAGCGACCTTGGGAAGTCACCGCAAGTCCATACCTCAATTCCCTTCTTGCATTCGAAAACTTGTCCAACCTGATCCCAACTACATAGCTGGTCCAATAAAAAGATAACACCCTAAGAAATCCTTGTCTCTCCCATCCATTCCCCTCTGATTTGATAACAATAGTACTGCCTTCCTTTCTTGAATGCTGAGATTTATGAAGAGCACTAAGAACTGGGGATTGTTATTAGGGACAGTGCTGGTTCAATGTATTCCTCACATGGTTTAAGAAAGGAAGCACAGACTGAAGACTCAAAGCCCAAGAACAAGAATGAGGACCCCTGGGTTCCAGGCCCAGTGCCTCCCCTGTCACCGTACCTCAGTTTACCTTCTTCATTTGCAAAAACAGAGATAATACAAACCTCCCTGGAAGAGCTGAGAAACTGAAGCTGCTCATATTTGCAGATTGCAGCAGCATCACCACAATACCTTAGGTTCTGCACATACAGATGAAAAAGTTTTGTATTTCTAGAGGTCTCTGAGCAGCAGAATGAGGCCAGATTCCCAGACGGTGTAAACCCCAGGGAGTTGCTAGAATTACAGTAAGTGTCAACTCCCCTTGTACAAACCAAAAAGGCACCTAGGAATTGAATACTGCAGCTCCTGCTTCTTGACTTCTTTCAAAACTTCTTGCCGACATGGGAAGTGGAAAAAACCAGCACACTGTGGCCCCAGGCAACAGCAGGTATGAACATAAGCCAAAGCTTCCCCCCACAGCAAGGTCCTACATGGGAACCTCCTTTTATTTCATGCTCAGTCGGAGCAAATGTAAAGAACACGTTGCTATCAACAACCAGCACACACCTTGTCCTCTGTGGTGAAAATAAGCCATGAAGAGTGAATATGGAAGTCACCCAAAAGGCACAACATCCTGCCACTGCCAACCCACATTTCACACATCAGCTCAAGTAACACTAAACATTGTGCGAGCAGTTTCCACAGAGCTCAAAGCAAGACAGGAACCACAGCAGCCTTCCCACCCCCACTGCAAGGGAGGGCAGTGGCACGGCTTCATTTTAGCAGCAGGAAACAGGAGGGCCATGCAGCAGTCCAACATCACCCAGGGAGCTAGTGGCAGCACCAGGAAGGAAGCCCCAGTCTCTCATCCCCCCAGAACACCGTCTCGCCGGCTGTATCGTACCTCCGCCAAGTTTGGATGAAGCAGGGATGCTTTCACGGTCCTCAATCGCCACCACACAGAACGCCAGCCTGCCTTGATCCCGCCGCGCAGCGAAACCAGGAACCACTGGTCGCCTGCAGCAGTTACCAGTGAGGAGGCAGCCAGGTGGGAATGCAGTTCCTACTGGGAGGAATGGGAGCAGTGGGAGGTGTGTGCTGGGTGGAGCTGCCCTCCGGTATCTCCCGTGAATTTGGGAGGGACAAGGATAAATTCTCAAGCCAACGGCCATTAAAGCAACAGGGCAAACAAAGGGTTACTTACCACCAGCACAGGTGCTGTCTTCCCCTGGCTCCCAGCAAGGCTCCCTCACAGCCAGCGGCTGTCAGACCGGATGCCCCGGTCCTTAAGCACTCGCTTGACTAAGCCACTCCCCAGGCAGGAGATGGCAAGGATGCTTTGGGGCAGGCAGCCCGCCCCCTGCGGGCCGGTGTCTCCTGGCTTTCTGTCTGGTCTTCCCCCAGCTAGAGGTGACATGTGTGACACAAAATCGAAAGTCTGCGCAGCTTGTAGTCAGAGGGAAAACCACAGAATTGGAAAAAGAGGCGTGTGTGTGTGTGTGTGTGTGCACTGAGAGAGTCGCTATGGCCCTAATGGAGTAAACTTCCCCCCAGCTCTCTCAGCCCATCTGCACAGCAAGCAGGAGGGAGGGACCGAGTGAGAGACATCCCTGGGCAAGAACGTGAAATGGGTACAACGTGGAGCAACTGATTTTTTATTATTAGCAGCAAATTCAAAGAGGATGCATCGCTCAGGGTCCCATCTCCCCTCACAGGCATGCTGCTCCCTCCTGCCTCTCCCTCACCAGCTAAGCAGGGCCTTGACACATGGGGTAGCATGCTCATCTCTCCAAGCAGGGCAGAAGAGAGGGAGGCTCCACAGCTTGGCAATGGGATACAAAGCAGTTCCCCTCTGGGTTGGCAGCTCCAGCAAACCCCAGAGCAGGAGCAGATCAAATTCTGTACCCTCCAAAAGCCAGTCTGTGAGCACACACCAGTGAAGGGACTCAGGACACAACCTCCCAGATGCAGAGCTCAGGCTATAAGCTCCCACAGGATGGCAGAGTCTGCAGAGGAGCAACCCCAGGCACAGAAAGGCAGGGGAGGGGAATCAGGCACCCCCCCACCCCCCCCAGGAGTCCCAGCAAAGGCAAGATAGATGGTTATTGCCAGTCACATGCAAGCAGCGTGTGTGCGCCAGGATGCTCCCAGCCTTGAGAGCATGGCCATGGAATGTTTTCATTCTGAACTGGGAAAGCAAGATAAGGAGGGAGGAAGCAGCAGAGAAGGGAGTGAAAAACTGCATTCCCAGCGCTCCCTAGGGAGAAGAGCTCCTCAGTTCATGACACACAAGAGCAGCAACTCCAGGCCCTGAAGTCCCTGCTCACACTTACAGGGACTCCCTTCAGGTGGAGGTACCTGGGCAGGGTAGGGAAGGGCAGGGTAGGTGCTGCTGCCCAAGCTGAACTGGTTGCACAGAGAGCAGGTGTAGTATGTCCAGGCCACAAGGGTGGCTGTGTGGCTCCTGCCCGGCTCCACCCCTAATGTAGCCCTCCCACCATGCCTTGTTCTTATTAAAGGTTGAGTAAGGGAGGCTTTAGAGTGGGACTTAATTCTTACAAATCTCCACCAGGTTTCTCCTGGACCCCACTAGTCTCCACTCAGCCCTCTGGCTCAATAGGCTTGGACTCCTGTAGCCTTAAGAGCTAATTGCACAGCTTTGTTCTGCCCCTGCACCATGCCCCAAGCCTCACAGGTGTTATAGTTCAAGGATGTCGCCTGATATTTGTTCTACTTAGCCCCTCTACACGCTCAGCCCCTCTGGTCACCTGCACAGCCCACCTCTGGGCTTCGGGACCCTCAGGTCCCATATGCAGCTGCTTCCTGGGCACTCAGACTCTGCTCTCACGCTCAGTCACTCTTGAGCTACCAGCACCCTAAGTAGGTCTTGAGCCTGCCCTTGCAGGGCTCCAGGTGAAACCACCAGGGCAACTTAATAACAAGTACCTGTGCCCTCTGGCAGGCACACAAACCTGCTCCAGGTTACAACATAAAACCAAGGCCACTTGCCCATATAACAAGCCCTTCTCTGCCTCATGTACCTTCCCTCGTTCCTGGCATTGCACAGTTGCTCCCTTTCTGTCTATTCAGGAGTACTACTGCTTTGCTGCTAGGAGCCCCTCACTTCCTGGCTCTCAAGGCTGGACTGGCTGGCCAGCTCAGGCCCAGGCTCAGGGCTTATACATCTCCAGCCCAACCTGCTACAGATGCCTTGGGTATCCACAGCTGTGTGATGTCATGAGCCATAACATCCTGAAACCAGTATTATCTATATTGGCTCCAAGAATCCCAGACTGGGATGCTGCTGGATAGGCAAACAGACTCATTCAGAGCCAGAACCTATGGAAGCAGCGATGGCTGGGACTATGACAAATCAATCAGGAGGAACGGGAAAGACAAGCAACATCCGAATGCAAAACCTCTGCCAAACTGGTGCCTGAAGCCATTTAAGATCTTTACCAGCAACATCATCTCCTGCCTGGCTACTGGGGAGGGGCACTTTCCACACAGAGCCCCAGCTGGAGCTTCACCCCAAGAACATGACCAACTGTCTGGGAGCCACCATACCCAGCATGTCACATCCATCACATCCAGCAAGGAGTCTGTAAACCCAGAGGATGTGCAAGGGGACATCTAGCTACATACAGGGCAGCTATCAATATTCTCCAAGTGCTTCAATAATTAGTGGGTTTTCTAGTGCCACACCCATGCAGAGTCAGGGAGCTATTAGCTCCATTTGCAACAGGGGAAAAAACCACATGATGGATTATGCCATTTGTGCGAGGTCACACAGTGACAGAGCTGGGAAACAAACCCAAGAGCCCTACCTCTCATTCTTTTGATAAACCACTCTGCTGCCTTATGCAGCTCTGAATACAATAATCATTGCAAGGATTGCATCCCTTGTCCTTGCACCTCATGTCTCCCAACACCCTCTGCACGTGGGAAAGAGAACGGTCTCAAGGGTCTGCAGTGGTGAATGTAGCCCATACTGTATGTGCTCCCTCAGCCACAGGCTGCAAAGCACAAACCGCTTCCAGCAATACCCAGGGCAGGCGCTCCTCCAAAGAAGGACAGGCCTGGAGTCCAGGAAGGGAAACCCAGATGCAGAGTAAAACCATGACACATAACTGTCCAAACTGAATGCAGTCCAGGGAGATAATCTCCTTACAATTGCCACAATTAAAGGCTGTTTTATTAACAGCTTAACTGTCCCTGGCAGGACTTCAGGCTCTTAAGTTTGGTTCTCAAAAAGAAGATCGGTAGGCCAAAAACCAAAACACACAAAATCAAACTGGTAAGTGCAGGGTTTGGAATGGATTTCCCCATCCTGGGGAACAAAAGGACTGACAGCATATTTCAGTCAGGTGCACACATCTCCAGTGGCCTGATGAGATCTCAAGGGAGTCCCATGACTTAGGGGAACCACACACAGCTGAGAAAAAGAAAAACCATCAGTAAGAGCCAGGGGCTCTCTCTCGTGTCTAGTCAGCAGAGCAACCTTCAGTACTTTTTCACTGACAGAATGAGAAAGCACAGACACATCCCAGGTCCTGCAGATCAATGTAATTCTACTCAATTTTGCCTTGCTAACCTTTGATGCTTACGCTGCTCTGACTGCCATGGCACAGCAATGTCCCACAGTTGCTGGGGCAGGTAATGAAACAAGCCTGTGGCAGAACACGAAATAAAACCCAACTCTTCCCATGTCATAAGTCAGTGCTTTCATCTTTTCTGTTAGTCATCTGTCCTACACCAATTTCTATACACCCGCGGAGCCTCTACCCCAAAGACAGCATGGACAACAGCAATCAGACCACTGGATTCAAAAACCTCAGGCCTCGGGGCCACAGGACGGGCAATATCCCACCACGGCTGAGTAAAGAGGTGGAGATTTGAACCTCTAAAATGTTGCCATCCATACCAGCTTGAGATTGGATGAATGTTGCTGCCATCTGAAGGCTGTTGGGTAGCCTGTCTTGTATGAGTTTAGCTGCATTGAATCTAATTGGACTGGACACACATTTTTTTCTCAGGAGAAAAGGGAGAAAAGGAAGAGAAAAAAAACCTATACATTTTTAATTTAAGAAGGAAAAGATCATTGGATTTTCCTTGAAAAACAAAGAAGTTGGAAACAAAGTACAAGTCTCCCACAAGGAGAGACTGAATTTTTGTTGAGAAACACGGGAGCAATTAATTTTGAGCAAGTGTACACATTCCAGCGCGCAGCCTTGGCAGGGAGCCCAAGGATTTAGCAGGTCATGAAAATGAAACTCCCCTCTCATTTCCAGGGGTAGGACTCCATCAGGAGCTGTGGAAATGGAGGAAGGACACTTGGGTGGACAAAAGAACTGCCCTGCAACTACCCAGGCAGTACCACCCTGCCAGAAACACAAAGGGCTTTTGGCCTCCAGAGTTTCCTCATCAAGGAGTATTGAGGCAAGCAGGCAGAGTTGTAGGAGGGAGAGCTTTGTTATATATGTGTTGAAGGCCAGTAGTACATGCTGTGGCTCTATATCGCCTCTGAAACCTAACCCCTCCCTCTCCCCACTTCCAGCCATCATGCTGCAGGGCTCCCAGGCTGGCACCATCACCAGATTTGTCCCAAACTGGAAGTGACATGTACAGCCAGTCAGTTCTTGGTAACACTGAAAGCAACATCTGCTCAAATAGCACTTATGCTGGTATGTGGTATTAAAATCAATATATACATGAAGGAAGAGAGGTGGGTAAATGGGCAGGAAATAAGAGGTGCTTAAGAAATAGCTCCAATCCACCCTCCCCTGCTCCAGCACACGCTGGGCAAACCCCAGCCCAGAGCTCCCTGCCCTCCTTTCTCTCCTCCCATCCTGCAGACAGCACTGCAGCTGGGAGGCGGGGTGTGGGGCTTGGGGAGAGAGGCCTCAGATAGACAGCTCCTCCTGGATTGGCTCCAAAGTGGAGCTTGATCCCCAACCTCCCTGAATTGGGTGGGGGGGAAGTGTGTTGCTGTAATTCATGGTGCTGTCTGTGAAGCACCATGAGTTACATCAGGGAACTGCATGCCTGTCAGTGCCTATGGGG